GTGTGAGATGATATTCACGGTGTGGGGATTGTAAATCATAAGCGGACTCTTTCCTCAGTTTCATTTTGCGATTAACGCGCCGGCAAACTGTGTGACAGATCACTGCTCTGCTGTTCACACATGGTGAATGAAATCAGCCAATCCTTCATGCCCGGTTCTCACGTGGTCCCCTTACAGCGTAGAGATCGATTTATTTTGTTATGCCGTTGATCTTCCTGTCACATGTGTACACGTAAGTCCAACAAGGTCATCCGTAATCCTCAGATCTTGAATGCATTTTACTGCGCTCTCAGATGTCATTATGGGAGAACCGTTCTTGCACTCCTTAATTTGCACACACCGAGCAGGTTGGCCTAGCGGAAATGCTGTAAACTTTTATTTGGAAGGTGCTTGGTTCTAATCTCGGCCGGTACACTGGCTGTCCTGACAAATTTTCGTGGTGTTTTTCAGTTCCTCAGTGCAAAGCTGGGTTACCACCTCAATCAGGCCACGACCGCTTCCTTCTTAACCCTTTCTAATTCATCTTTTTTCCCACCGTTCGAGGATGTATGTTCCGGCTACAGGCAGCGTCGTAAATTAAGCAACCCGCAATGATAGAATGGACCGAGTTTGATGCTTCGGCCAGGCTTTGTCCACTTCCGATTGCGGACTTCCTGTTTGTGACATCTAATGATGCAGGTGGATACAAACTTTTGGAACAGCCTGCTTCCATCTTCAGGGTCGAAGTGAGTTGGGAAGGATAGGATATGGTTATATAAGCAAGTTCCCAGGAATGTGATCACTCGGGAGGGGAAGGTGAGCTTCAGCACGGTCCAGACCAATTGGAACGGTGAACAGGAAATGTGACCCTGAGGATCGAGGCAGAATATTCCGTCGAAAATTTATTATCAACTTAGAGACTACATAATGTCTTAGTGACCAGAGCATATACTGCCACTTCTATGAAGACCTGTAAATTTATCTCCATGTTTTTGAATGACAGTTGACTGCAGAGTTTATGATGTGTGTTATTATTTGCGGTGTTAATAGTTAATGGTCGAGAGTTGCATCAGTATTAATCTATTCCTTATCACTTTATTCTCAAGTGTTTTATCTACGATCTTCTTAATTTACATTCCTCTCGTATTGAAGAAGAGGTGAGATTATGTAAAGAAAAAATAAAACTATCCCTGTAACAGGCCGTGGAGACCCATAAGGATGTGAGACGTCGAGGCCCCCACATTTTCTAGACAGTCGGCTCACATATTGCGGTGAAGTTGTCAGCCTTATTCGCCGGCCGCCTTTACCCCCAGGAATATTTCCGTTACTCATTTATTTTAGAGGATGAGTCAACCCCAGGGCCATAGTGCTGCTGGAAGGATTAAGACAATTGAAAAATCCAATAAAATCATCGGGAATGAAAACCGCAACCTTCCGGCTTGTATTATAGTGCCACAACAAACTACGCTACCGCGTGCCCCCAAGTGAGATTTTGAGATTATGAAATTACTTTTCTCGCTGTGTGCCCAGTCATATCAAGATTTTGCGAATTATTGTTGCACCCCCCCAAGAAGTAGAAACATGGAAACGGTACGAGGCTTTGTCTGGCCCGTAACAAAGTATTGAGGGTTTGTACAAGTGGAAATTATGAATATAAAATCGATGACAAAACAGAAAGACCTAATATTACTAAGTAGTTCTCTCTGACTACATGAAATGAAAATAAATATCCAGCTTTGTTTCCAGAATGTAATTTATTAAAGTAAATTTGTTTCTATTGCTTACATATACATAACCATTGATAATTCAACCGGAAGTGTCATCATTCGTTATATAAGCTTTCCTACTATTAACTTACTGTTGAGGGGGCACGCGGTAGCGTAGTTGGTTGAGGCAGTATGCTACAAGCCGGAAGGTCGCGGGATCGAATCCCGATGAGGTGGATTTCTTAAATTTACATGATCTTTCGAACTGCACTATGGCCTGGGGTCGACTCAGCCTCTAACAGAAATGAGTACCATGAATATTCTTGAGGGTAAAGGGCGGCCGGAGCGTAAGGCTGACAACTTTACCGTAATCTATGAGCCGATTGTCTAGATAATGTGGGAGCCTCACCGTCTCACAACCATATGGACCTCCACGGTCTGTTACAAGGATACCTTTACTTGTTTACGTTTACTATTAACTTCCCCTTCTTTATCCCATGCTGCTTTCCAGTCCTACATATTATCGAATGATACGTCGAGGTCGACGTTTACTGCCATCTGTTGGGTGGTCCACAGAGCCAATCTGGACGTTATGGAGAAGAGAAAGATCTCTTGCCCCTACCGGGAATAGAACCGCGAGTCCTCGGGCCTTCAGCCTGAGCTAGATGCGATTTTATATTTTATTTGGAGCAGCCGCCACTTTGGTTCTGTTGCTCTTGTGGTTCAATGTTAGGCGCCGTAAGTACCCACCGTTGCTTCAAGAACTTGACGTATGTAAATTACGTTCCCCGTACCCTGCACGTCGGCCAGACCACGCGACGTGGCTCGAGTAAAGGAAAAGACGCAATTAGCAAATGCCACAGGTGGCTTTGCTGGGTGGGAGGGTGGGTGGAGGAACTTGGCAGTCAAATGAAATGCAGATGAAACGGAGATGTGAGATGACAGAAAACTTCAGAAATATTATAGAATTCCTCTCATTAATATACATTCCAGTGATAAAACATTCTCCTTCTATATATATATAAAACAAGAAGTTAATTGGAAGAAGAATCGCATACTTTTCATTTTGTTTCGGTGTATCGTGTCTATTCTGTGAGTTCTAATAATATTTGTATGTCGAGGTTTGAAGTGCAACAGGCCTGTACTACATAAAGGAGACTATATGTCCAGTTTTCGTCAGAGATGGCATTAAGCACTGGCCTCGATGTATCGTTGGGTAAGAAGTGCAACTTGAAATGAATATGGGGGAAAACAGAGGAAGTTAATAGTACGAAAGCTTACATAATAAATGATGGGGCTTCCCGATCAATTCCCAACGGGCGTTACACTAGTAACTCTTTAAAGCCTGAATTATTTATAACAGTTAAGAATTCAGTTCGTACTTCGCAGGAAACACATAACGTCTCCGCTACAAAGTCCAGCCGGTTAATACTATTTGGGGAAATAATCGCTGTTTTTCGTGAGAATCATACGGAACACATAAATACACTGTGTGGGCAGAATGCAGTATATATAACTTCAGTTCGTACCTCACAGGAAACACATCTCCGTTGCAAGACCCAACCGGTTAATGCTGTTTAGGGAAATAATCGATGTTTTGCGTGAATCATATGGGACACATAATTACACTAAACATAAACCACCTACTGTGAACTCAATCAGGTGTTGGGCCAGATTTGAAACCCCATTTTAAAACATTGGATGCAATAATCTGGTTAAGAGATTTCATACAACTGAATGGACGTTGTTATGTGGATAATGAACAATGGTGAAGTAAGGATTAGCAAGAGAAGCCCGGAGAAACTTATACAAAAATCGGTTCCCGTTGTACCACGCATTTCAACACGAAGTCACCCGAAATTATACTCAAGGGTCCGCTGTTAGAAACCATCGCCCAGTCGTCCGAGCTCTGGAACGGAAGAACGTTTTCAATGTTAAAAAGGAAGTGGTACTTATAGTAACTGCTGTGCTTGGAAGAGTTGGAAGGTATAAAAGCAAAAGCATCGGAAAGACGAATGTATTTAGGATATCCTCAGTTGCGTCTTCATCCAATTTCGTTTGCTCCTTTACGTTCTATGCTTCCCAAATGCGAGACGCAAGAATGAAGGAAACAGCTGAGGAGCTTTCACAGATCAATACGCCTCTCGTCTGCTCATGTCTATAAAGTAGTGAAATTCCTTTTTCCCGATACTCGACGTATCCTGAAATGTGGTGGAAAATGTGTCAAGTTTCCCCTTCCGTCTCGCCTCCGACACCTTAATATTGCCATTACCTGACAGGATCCGTTGAGACGTTTCAGCGGCGCCTTTTCTGAATTCTGTCGCTTTGCGTCTGTTAGCAGCACATTAAACATCAAGTAACAGTGCACGTTCTTCGTCCGGGGTTTTGTTTTGCTTTTCTTATTAATCCTACAAATGCCACCTCCGATTTCTCCAGTTGCATGATGCATTTGAGGTTATTTTCACGAGTAATATTTATCTAGGAGACCTTTGAGCAAAATTGGTCAAAAAGTTTTCGGCCCAAGCAGTTTCCAATGCCTCTAGTAGATGGGGGAAGTATCAGGTACCGAGGGCCGACCTCGTTGGCTGAACGGGGCTGATAGCACGCACCAGTACCGGTAGGGTATGACGACTGGTAGAATATCAAAGGGGGACGTACAGTAGATCAACAACTGGTCGCGGTTCATGGGGAAACCCACCCCCTCCAATAATAATAATAATAATAATAATAAGTAATATTTATACGGAATAAATTACAGAGATAGAGAAGAATATATGAGTTTGTCATTTTTAAATAACCATATTTTTGCGCCTATTTCCACAAATTTTGGGACAGTTACTTCTTATTTAATCAATAGCGTGTTTACAATGTACTCCCGATAATATGGAGTAATGTGTAAATTTGTTCTAAGTAGGTGTCCTGAGTGGAGAAGTCATCCACTGATGATGCTCTGACAGGCCCTGTAGAGGAATGATGATGGTTTTAATCTTCGTCATCTGCGGGTTGCGGTAGGTCAGGCGGCCACTGCCTTCTCAATCTTCTTGTTACATTTGGTGGGTTGCTGATTTCTACAACTAATATATCCGAGTATGCTTTTTGGGGCAGAATGATAGAGGAAACATGTGTAAGAACGAGAAAGAAGGTGATGACTATTTTTTTGGACATGCCGAGGCAAATTATTATCACTTTTAGGGGGTCGTACGGACTGGTATCCCAGCTCCCTTTGAATCACTCCATCTTTCAATTTATTTCTCGTCAAATGTGTGAAAGTCAGTTTACTGATTGCGACTGGTTTGTTCCCTCCCTCACCCACAGGTCCGGCCCATGTTGACACCCGGTGACGTCACCGTGAGGGGGCTGTTGACCTCGCAACCTTCTCGCTGACAGGTGAGTTTGAACTTTGACCTTTCCACAGAACCGTAATGTAGTAGTGAATCAGTATCCAATACTGTGATACTCGGACTAGCATTGGCTGTCGCCTGTAAGCCAAAGCTTGAAATACAGAATCATTTAATCAGATCTCACTTTTGAACGAGCTAGCGATGAGCTATAACGACGTTGAAACCATATCTCACAATCGGCCCTATGAGAATATGGGAAACAGAAGACATATGCTTTTACGTGGAACACGCGGAGATACAGACCTTGATCGGCCGTTGCCTGGCCTCCCCGGTCACTAGTTTTACCGCATCAGACTTCCTGTATGGCTACATCAAGGATCAAGTATAATGGCCTAAACCGCCCCAAACCCCTGATATGACTGAAAGGACATCTTTACGTGAGGACACCACATAGGTTACTCATGAAACTGAAAATACACTGGGAAACTATGTCTGATACGGTGAATATTGTGTCATGTATAGTCGTATTACTTTCGTAGATATGATTGATCAAAATTGCGATCCAATTTAGAGAGACTCTTCATAGGACCTACAGTTGATGCATGAGGAGCTAAGAAAACAGAGAAAAGGCTATGCTTTGCTGGCTTGACTTATTGTTTGCTCCTGATGATGGAGGCAGTACATTTCTCCGAAATGCTAGTAAAGTTTCGTCGGGTTATTTGGCATCATATGTCATAAGATAGTGCACTTAATTTTTCTTACTGTCATGAGAGCTATCTGATGTCATAACTCACGCTTTGTTCGAAAGTGACCATGGGGAACTTTACGATTACGTATTCCCAGAAGTGGATTTGCCCACGATATGTTGAAACCTTATCAGTGGCAACATGGTTTGGGCTCTGCGGCTGGCCTAGTTCGGTTTCGAACTATAACTATTAAATTCAAAATAATTCTGTCTTCTACTATATGATCGTCTTTGCTCTCTTCTGCTTCAGGATTTGTAGTCCGAGCGTAGTTTAGGCTGATTGGAAACATAAATAACTGAAATCTTAAATTCCTTGTTTATTGATTGGATAATAATAATTCACTTCTTTATTATTTATGTGCCAAGTCAACAGCCGCAAGGCCAATTACAGACAGAGCACAGTGCAGATAAAAGTAATTACATTATAGACAAACACAATATAAAATCAAAGACAAATTACAGGAAAGCACTGGGGAAAACACAATAATATAGAGAAGTAAACAAACAAACAAATGATAATAATAGCAACAGTAATAATTTAATTAACATAAATCTGAGTGTTATTAAGAACTGAGAAATGAAACATATAAATATTTAATTAAGAAATGAAAACTATAGATTTTCAGAGAGGATAATGGTAATAATAATTCATTTTATTGTTGTTTATTGTGCATGTAAATAATAACAATACTAACAATTTTACTGTATTTAAAAATCGTTTGGGGAGAACATTTCTGACTCCGAATACGTCAACATCCCTGCAGACAACATTAGCAGCTGCTGCACATAATAATAATAATAATAATAATTTAGAATAAGCTAGTATAACGTCGGTTGTGAATCCATCGGGGAGTATCATCATTAGCTATATAAGCTTTCGTGCTATTAACTTTCCCTGTTTTCTCGCCTATTCCAGCCCTACATGTTATCGAGTGATACATCGAGATCGACGTGTGACCCCGTCTCCCACGGAACACGCACAATCGATCGTAAACCGTCTCCTTTTTATTGTATACGACGCTTAACATATCAGGGAGCCGGGTTAGGGTAGTCGGTATAGCGACTTGCTGCGGGCTGGACGACCAAGGGATCGGAGTTCTAATCCCGGTATGGTCAAGAATTTTCCCTTCTCCACGTTGTCCAGACCGGCTCTGGGGTCTGCTCAATCTCCTATGTAATGGGTATAGGGGGCTCTTTTGCCGGGGGTAAGCTGCCGGGGCTTGAAGCTGACCACTCACCTCCAATTATAGTACGAGGTCAAGAAAATGTGGATCTATACATCCACTCCCTCATACGTTTTCATGGCCTAGTGCTTAATTAGTTAAGTACAGAGACAACTTTACGTTACTTTTACTTACGCTGAACATAATCCACATCAAAATATTATCATTGTTAACGAAATAGACACGATACGCGTAAACAAAAACTGCACACACGCTCGTTCGTGACCTGGTACATAAACGGTGTTCGTGCGCCGTTTTAATTCCCGACAGTTCGTTGCTATGGTAACCTGAAATTGCGTAACGACAACGGTAGACCCTATTCTTATGGAATGTATATGATACCTCATATGCATTAGACGAAGCCTTAGGAAACTTACCAGAATGTCCCTTTAAGAAGAACCTCAAGTCCTAAGTACTGAGGTTTTGCGACAGGGGAGTGGAATCCATGACTAAGCTGAAACATCTGTGACTGGTGTGCTCAGCCTCGCATGCGGTGGGGAGGGGTAGCAGGTGAGGGGTTATTTCTTATCACCATCCATCATTCGACCCAGGCAGGGCTCACAAGAATCCCCAGTGGTAATTACAGTGGGCACTCCGTTCCAGGCGAGACAGAATGATTGCACGGGTGACGGGAAGCGGCAGATAGCGGTCGAGAGATTTATTTTCTGCGGGAATTTTTCAGAATTTCCTAATATATATAAAATTCATGTGAGATTTTTGGTTCTCACAGCAATGACAGTGAGCATTACTGTTTCCTTCCGCGTGACGCTGCTGCTGTTATTTATTTAACGACGCTGCCAGCGGCTAGACGACATAGCGTCGGATGTTACGGCCATTGATGGGTAACGGAAGTTGAAAAAAGTGGAAGGATGCCGTGGTGGCATGGTTCAGGTACTATTCCCGCATTTTCATGGAGAAACTGAGGAAAATCACATTTTCTTTTAGCAAGAATAGCCTGTGAACCGACCAAGATTCGAACCGAACACCTTCCGAATACAAGTCTAGAGCATTGACCCTAAGCCAACCTTCTCTGTGCTACTTGAGAAGCTAGTACTTGCTCAAATAGTCTACAGATTCCCAGCATTTTATGGAAATCGAAAATCTCATTCCTGTGTCCATGAAAACGGATACTGGGACCCTATCCTGAGCTGGATGATTCCAATCCACTAACTTCCTTACTAAGAACCATTTTAATATTATTCTCCCATCTGCAGCTAGGCCCTCCAAGATGTATCTTGTCGTCTGGTTTTCTTACCTTTTATACATTTCTGTTCTTTCTCTTGCTGACGACATACCCATCCCATCCTCCTTCGTAAAGGACTTCATATACTTCCTGTGAACGTAAACAAGTCCTGTTCCTTTAAACTCAAGATGCACTTGGGTGTTCAGCACCTCGCCATCCCCGCGGTTGCGTCCTGAGGAGTCCTGAACGTGTCACGTAGTGTGTTACTGTAGACGGAGGTTGGATTAGTGAATAGATTTATTGACCACTTACAGGTCGTAACCACAACTATAACACTATCGCTGTTTCTACGCCTTACAGTTCACTAGGGCATACAGTCTAGTGTTCTCAGTCTGTTACTAGATGTTTCCTGGTAACGGCTCCAAATGTGGCTACTCCTCTGCCTCCGGCTGAAGTCGTCTCTTCACAGACCCCCGAACAGAACCGACTTTGTCCCCCCAATTGTTGTCCTCCCTCGGCACGGACCACGCAGAAACACGCCATTTCCAGCAGTACCTCCATTGTTGCGCGTCGATTTATTGCTGATGGAACGTTATTACTAAGCCGTTGCCCAGAAACTGCCGTGGTGTATCCGCCCATCTCGGTTGTCGTTCCATAGCAACGGCTCTACACGCTACAGTGTAATTTCCGTTTTTGTTAACACTCAATTATCATGTAGAAGGATATCTTTGAGACGACGATGGCTGTATATAGGAGGGCCCTGTTTCCTGCGCACATGCATTGTGACCTTACGAGGCTGGAAAAGTCCCCCTTTCTTCTGCGCTTTCTTTTGCTGTGCTAGCACGAGTTATTAAGTTTTAGTAGGCAAAAAATAAAAAAAGGCTTTTTTTGTTGTTGTTCTTCAAGAGCAGATGTCCGTGACGCAGCTTGAAACGTGTAACACTCCGCCCCCCCCACTCTCTCTCTCTCCTTCAGAGCTCAAGCATTCTGTTATTTCTATTTTTGTCTTTCCTTTGTCGCCCTTTCACTGTTACACGTTTTTTACATGTTCTCATTTTCTAATTCTGTTTTGTCTTACTCCGTTATTGTGTTGGATTTAAGGTACTCACAGCGAGCACTATATACTCCATCTGCTATGAGAACGACGTTGCATCATAGTCACTGACGTAACTGTTACGTCATCAGCATACTGTTGTTACACATACGCCGGTGTGAACCGTAAGGTTGCCTACAAACGGCATGACTTAGCATAGGCTTTGTGGAGAGCTGTCTCCTTATATGTGACACTGTGTAGTATAATTTACAGATGTTTCGGAGAAACATACTGCCTCCATTTTCAGGGTCGCAAAGTAAACTTAGCAAGCAACCGGTAAGAAGTAAGCACCAAAGCTAGATCTGTATTTTCTGCTAGCTTGTATTACTGTTCCTAGCGCGGAGAGCGAATCTTTCCTTCCGTCCATTGATCTTCACGCCCTTCAGCTCCTTCACCATGTGGTGCTTTGACCCAGGAGAACCCTGTCACTGACTGTGTATAATAAGGAAGTAAATTCCTGGATTCTCTGTCCGTTTCTCCC